AGATAAATTCGTAAAGTGATAAAATTGTCTTGTTTTTGGATTGACTATCATATGGAAGATATATGGCAATTATTTTTATCTCAATTTTGGACTTGAATTTAAATTGTGCTACACACTAGTACTCATTTTGTGTGAAGGTCTTGAAAATATGATTTATTATTTTGTTGAAGATAAGAATACATGTATCATTACTTGGGATGTTATTGGATTGACTTGAGATTATAGTGTAGTTGTTAAGTCTTTTAGGAAGGAGATGATAATTTGTATATTTTGTTTCAATGCAGATTATTATGTCTCTTGCATTTGGTTGCAAATTTATGAAGCATTGTAGTTTTCCCAGTTAATTTAAGCCTTGTGTGTTAATTGTGATTAAAGTGAGGAGGTTACAAATTTGATATTATGGTATAAGGATATTGTTATTAAAACTAAAAGAGTAACTATTGTTGCTACCACTAGTATTTATTAAAACAGAATGAACAGGAGAGCTAGTTCTGGATCAGGTAGCTCAGGTTCAGTAATAAAATCATCTGACAGTTTGATAAAATAAAAAATTATTACTCAATTCTTTGGTACGTTTTGGAAGGGATTAGTTTTTTATAATAGGGAGAGTAATATTGATTTAATTGTTTTTGAGAAAAGAGATTGCATCTTCAAGAGTAGAAAGATCAGGTAATACTGGATAAATCTACTATTATGATATTTTTCCATAATATGTCATTTTGATTTTGTTTAAAATTTCCTTAAATTTGGGTGAATTACTGTATAAATCTTTTTTTGAAATATTGAGATTTTCCTCAATATGTTCTAATGATACTGATAAGGGGGTTTTCTCATTTAAGTTAGATTGGCAGCAATCTATTCAGGTTCTAATGGAAGCTGAAATTTGAATCTTGAATTTAACAGTTCTAGAAGTGGGTTCACTTTACTTTGCAGCTGAATTTGAAGAGTGACATTAAAGTTCTTACTAATTTGATATAGTGGAGAAAGAATTTGTTTTATTTTAATATAATCAAAAAAAGGGGCTCTGACTGCAAAGTTATGTTCTTATAGTAATTATATAGCATCTTTTTTGGCTATTGGATTGTTGTTCACTGGGAAATGAATGGCTAATTTGATCAGTAATTCAGTATATGAGGCTAGAAGTTGTTGTTTGGAGAGAAGAAAATTGAAGTAGAATTCTGGAAGTTTTTTTTGGAATATAATAGAAGTCCCTGAGTTCTGTTATCAAAGCTTGTAAGTTTTTCAGCTGGCTCTATATTTTAGTGAAAAAAGGTCCTTAACTTCTAGAGCAAGATTTTCAGGATCATTTGAAAGCTCAAATTTTTTTTTAAAAAATGTTTCTGAAAGGAGATCAAAGTTATAATATGTTTATAAGCTTTTGGTTATTTGTGCTAGTAGTCATGGTGATGAAATAAGAATGGGATGGAGTAGTTTGACTTTTATATTTGCAAGAATAAGGTCAGATAAGATAGAAAGAACAGGCAGTTTATTTTTAATTATTTCTTTGCAATGCTTAAGAATGTTATAATAGTCTGCTTTTGGAAGTATTGGATTCATGAAGTAGTTGAATCCATATTCAATAATTGCTGCAACCTGCCAATATTTAGGTCTGCCAGATTATGAATTTTGAGATAGGCTATGAATAGTACCTTGTTTATAATATTTCTGATTTTGTGTTTCATTGCTCTGGTGATAAAGGTAATGTTGTGTTTGTTGCAACAGTTGTTGTGACATTGTTTTTTGATTTCTTTAAATTGTAACTGGTGTTTGCCTTTGATTAGTGAATGTACAAAAGAAAGTCCTATTTCTGAGCTCAATTTTGATGAATATTGCCTTTAGATTTTTGGGAGCTCTGATGGGAGCTTTTTGTTTGATAATTATGAAGAGATTAATTATTGCTTCTAGTTCACATGTAAAGGTGTTAAGTTCTTAACAGATTTTCAAAAGTGCTTTTTGGTTTTTCTAAGAGTCAACAATCTTGATGTCTAATTTGTTGTTGATTTGATCAGTCTATGAGATTGTAGAGTCCTTTGGGGGCCTTTCTAATTAGTTTGTTAAGGTATCATTTGTTATTACTTGTAATTGGTCCAAATTTTGTTAATAAATAGCTTTATCATTGCTATTTTTAAAAAAAATAGGCTAGCTAACATATGTATGTTGCATATGAATTGATATGGGGATAGCTTAGTTTGTATCTATTTGCATGTTATTGTCACAAATCATTTTCTCAGTTGAAATGGATGTGTTTGGAGGAGGTTTGAGGTTTTGGGTTTTTTGTTTCAAAAAAAAAGTGTTGGAGGTTTCGTCTATTATAATATCAAGTTTGCTTCAGGAGATGTAAAGGCTATAGATTAGTTTTTTGATCATAACTTCTTTTATGACTATTTTGTGATCTTCATATATAAGTTTAAAGGTTTATTAAAAGTCTAGAAATGTGTTAAATGCAGTTAAGGTTATGGGTTTAAGAGTAGATATTGATATTTGTTGTGAGTCTATTTCTTTAAACTGTTTTGAAAGTAGCTTTTATCACTTTAAACTTAGCTTGTTCGTTCTCTGAACTTCTAATGGTTGTGAGCTAGATAAGTGGATAGTTTTTTGAGATTTGGAAGAAGATAAAATAATGAGAGTTGGTGACGAAGAGTAGTAGATTATTGCTGGTTTTCTTGAAATATTAGTGATAAAAACATGTATTTATATTAGTAGTTAGATTTCTTGGGAAAGAAGTTTTCAGGTTCCTTTGGTTTTTTCTTCGAAGCAGAAATTTTTGAAATTTCTTAAAATGGTAATTTTGAGATTTTTCAAATTATGTGAGAATGTGTTTTTTTTTTCTTTGAATTATTTTTTTTTTTTGATAGTAATAAACAATTTATAATAAAGATAAATATTAAAAAAAAAAACAAGAACAAAAATTAAATATCTTTTACTAGAAAATATTAAAATTTTTCAATAAATAATTTTTTATTATTTAAATTCTTGATTTATAATACATCTTAAATTTTGTCTTTACTAAAGTAAAAAACTAATAAATTTTATTTTTCAAAAAAGAACATAAGTGATCTACAAAATTTTGTATATTAAATATTTTAAGGACTTATTAAAGTATAAAACTATTAGAACTTACTATGTTTTTATTATAAATTTCAACTTTAACAATTTTTAAATCCTTATTGTTGATCCTCTAACCATATACAAAAAAGATGTTTGCAAAAAGTTTTTATATTTCCTTACTAATAAAGTCTTAACACTTTCCTTAAAACAACTTGAAATATAACTTCAAGAGTCACTTCTATCCTTCTCTATTATTTACAAATCTCTTCACTCAAAAACTTGACTTCTAGTGACCAAGAAAAGTCAAGTAATATCTTTGATATCAATAACAAGAAAGTTTCCAAAGAAAGAAGAACTAACTGTGAAGTACTGAAGATCTTTCTAACCTTTGAAGCAAGAGGTTAATAGAGGTTTTTTGTAGTAAAAAGGCTTATTTTCTTTCTTTTTGACTGTCTTGATCCTCTTAGAGCTCCCATATTTACAGTTTTCTGGGAAATTTTGCTTACCTCAGTTTGATCCTGAATTTTGGATAACATAAATCCTCACCAAAGGTAATTGGCTAACACGAAACACATCAGTTTTTGAAATGTAAATAAGCTTCTATTGATCACATCTCACATGTCTTGGTACATCATTGGTGATATAGAAAAGAAAGTTTCAGAAAAAGTATTTTTTCCAATTGTATATGTTCAATCTCCAGGAAACAATTATGATACTGAAAAATGAGTGACGGGTAGAAATAGAAGATCTAACTTCTATCTCTCATTAAGTTTCTCATGTGATAAAAAAACTTTTTTGAACAAAAGCTGAGATTTCCAAGCTTCTATCCTGGTCAGGCAAAGTTCTTGAAAAGATTTCTTTATTCCAATTAGATAAACTCTTCTGTAATATGGTGCTGGCCTCACTAGCGATAAGCGAATCTATATATCGACAGAAGAATAAGTTCCTTAAACATTCTTCTTGAAGTCACTTTCAGGAATAGTTAAGTTTTTCAAATATCATAAAGCTTAGAGAATATCAAAATCAAGCAAACCCCTTTCGAGAAAAAACTATGAAATGGAACAAAAACCTTTTGAAGGGCTTTAAATTTTATTTCTTCTTCTCCTTTTCCCAGTGTCAACTTTAGCAATTTATTATTTTTCGGGATAATCAATAGTGACAAACTGTTGGCAATGATCCTGATTAACTTAGAGGCACTATTGTCAAACTACTAGAAGAGTGAAATATTGTCCCTGAATCTGACTTAGAATATCTAGTTTAGACTTAGTTTTGTTTAGTCCAAACTAGCTTAGTGGACTTCTCATATTTTTTAAGTAGTGTAGTCCTTTAACTAATAATATACAACAATGAGTTAATTGCTTTGTGAAAGTCTGTAAAATATTTAGGTATTTCTCAATATCTCAATAAAGACATGCCATTGTGGCATGATTTCGGGTTAAAAAAAAAAAAAAAGTATAAAACTACTAGAGAAATATAATATTGTTTCCTAAATTTGACTTAGAGTACTTAGTTGAAACTTAATGAATTCCTTATATTTTTTAAGTGGTGTAATCATTTAATTATGTACAATGATAAATTAGTCATCATGTAAAAGTCAGGTATTTACATAATGCCTCTATAAAGACACCATGATGGCATGATCGCGGGTTACAGTAAAAAAAAAAAAACATTATTAACGTTAAGAATAATTTAATTTATAAACTTTAACAGTTTAGTCAACCAAGTCAACTGACATGACCGACTTAAGTCACGGCCCAAGGTTATTAGACAATAAATAGCGCTTTTTTCCGTCAAATTCAAAAAAGTCAATGAATCGAATTATCACTTTTCTATTATACCTAACAATTCTAATTGGTATTGTTTTGATATATGAATTTATTCAGACGAGTTCTGATGATATTGGCTCATATAAAGGTTCTTTTAATTCGAAGAGCAATAACATTGAAGAAGTTATGAACGAGTCAGACAATGATGGAAAAATCAGAGAGTCGTTTGTTAAAATCAGTGGAACAGGATTTGTCCTCGATGACAAGCCTTATTATATAATTGGGGCGAATTATTGGCAAGCTATGAATCTTGGTATGGTGATAGGTAATAGGTCGAGAGTTATACAGGATTTGGCTACTCTTAAAGAGAATGGTGTTAACTGCGTAAGAATTATGGCCGGTAGTGAGGGCCCATCTGGTGAACCTCAAAGAATGTATCCGGCTTTAATGAATTCTCCTGGTGAATATAACGAAGATGTTTTCGAAGGTACAAATCTTTAAATTTTATAATTTCATTATTAGTATTTATCTTAAAATTATTTGCCTCTTCATCGGATAGGGCTTGATTGGTTCCTCGACCAATTGAGACATGTTAAAATGAAAGCAATAATGGTAAAACTATCTTGATGAGTTTTTGCCTATTCTCCCCATTCTAATTAAACTCAATTGTAGACCTTATCCAATTATTGGCAATGGTCAGGGGGGTTTGCTCAATATGTTCACTGGGCTGATAATTCTTCTCCAATTCCTTACCCGGATTGGGGAAAAGATGCTACCCCGTTTATAGAATATGCCGAAAGATTTTACTCTGATCCAAAAGTTTTAGACACATGTCAAAAATACTATCTAAATCATGTGAAAACAGTAATAAATCGAAGAAATACTGTGAACGGTATAATATATAAAGATGATTCGGTAATTTTTTCCTGGGAATTGGCAAATGAGCCACAAGATATTCCCAAAGAGAATGGGCATGAGTATATGGGAAAATGGATAGATTCCTCAGCAGGATATATAAAATCGTTGGATGAGAATCATCTAGTCACTTCCGGAGCCGAAGGAAAACACGGTAAAGAATGGTTTATCACCATGCACCGTAGTAAATATATTGGTTAGTTGAATTTCTTTCTTTTTTTTGTGTATTTACTTGCGAAATTAATTATCTCTTTTCGGATTAGACTTTACAAGTGCACACGTTTGGGTAGAAAATTGGGGATATTATAAGTCCGATGATCCTAGTATTGAGAATTTTCAGAGAGCTAATAGTTTTATGTTAGATTTCTTGCAAAATGTTAGTGATTGGTCAACAAGCATTTTACATAAACCTGTTTTACTTGGAGAATACGGTAAGCGATAAATCATAATCATAATTAAATATACGACTCTTTGCTTATTAATTTTCCTTCCCCATAAATCAAAACACGAAAGGAATGGCAAGGGATGCATGGAGTGGGGTTTCAAAATATTCCCCAAAGGCAACTACAACAAACAGGGATAAATATTTTACTGCTATAACAAACAAAGTACTAGAACTGGAAAAACAACATAAATTTACTGGACACATGTTTTGGGCATATGCTGGTGTTGCTAAACCGAGTGACAATTATCCTCAATGGATCGGTGACCCACCTCATGAGCGTAAGTGCCTGTTTAATATTGAGCGAAAGATTCGTTAATCTTTATTATTAATCTTTTTTCTTATTAATTAGCTCCAGGTTGGTATTCGGTGTATGATACTGACAAAAATACTTTAAAAGTTTTTGCTACGCATGCTAAAGAGGTATCAAAGTTAATAATTTAGCATTAATGAAAGTCATTTCAACTTTTCTATTTGTTAATTTATAATTATGTTTATAAGTATTTGGGATAATTTTCAAGTTTTTCTAATTATGTAACTCGATTTTTTTTTTTATAAAAAATTTTTAATAAAATTATATATAATATATATATATAAATTGACTTTTTATTTTGCTAATTATATTAAACTTATTAAAAAATATAAAGTCTAAGAATAAATATATTTTTTAATTTACAATTATATTATTAAGGCATATTTTTATTAAGACATCAAATAAATATCTACAATATTATATTGATTATAATATGATAATTAATATTTATTTTTTTTAAACTAATTATATTTCTTTATTAAACTTATAGTAAATTGTATATTTCAATATAGGATTAAAGCTAAATCTTCAATTACTTGTTTTAGTTAATATAAACTTTAACTATAACTTTGAAAGTAATTTGTTATTTTATTAGTAGTTTATATAATAATACTTTCAACTATATATGTAATAAAATTAAATTTTAAAAATTTCAAAAGATAATTTTTTTTTAACCTATAATCAGATCAGTATAGTATATCTTTATTGTATATATGCTAGATATTTACAAATTGTTATAACTTTCACTTACTAAACTTACTCATCATCAAAAAACTATTTTTTTAAATACAATCTAAGAAATGATATTTCGCTTCTTTACTAATTTAAATAACTCTCTAATTAATAAAATTGTTGTTTATAAATTATTATTATAGATTATTCTAAGTTTTTTTTGCAGTTAAAAACTAAACTGTTTGATTTTATAATAAATCCAATTCTTAATAATCACTGTATACTTTTTTTCTTCTTTTTCTTTAATGCCTTTCAAGTTTAGATTTTTCAGAAATAATAGCATTTCTTCTTGATTTTATCCAGTTTGTATATTGAATCTATACGTATATCTTTTATTTTTTTTATATTTTTTGTAATCTTCTGTTTTTTTTTCTATTTTATAACTTTGATATAATGATTTTTTCAAGTCTTCTTTTTGAAGTTTACTAGTATCTTTTAATAAAGCTTGCTGATTATATTCTGTATAGTTGCAAGTGGGATCTTGAATTGTTCTTTAAGATATTTCTTCAAGGAAGTGATCTTATTTTCTTTCATATATTCACAAATAGTATTGAAAAGGTTTCTATCAGATTTCTGAATCTTTTTCAACCATTTGTCTGTCCAGTTATTTATTACAGGTTGGACTTTTTCTTTATCTTTAACTTTTTTGCTTATATATTTATATATCTTTTCATTTGCTTTTTATCATATGTCTTGCTTGATTTTTTTAATGGTTAGATATTCAAAAAGATATTCTAATGTCTCTTTTTAAAGTTCATATACTGAACAAGTAGTTATAATGTATATATCTGATTTCTTTTTTTAAATATCTATAAGACTGAAAGTTTATTGTGAATTAGGTTAGTTAGAAAGCTTTTTTTTTATTGACTTTGAAAGAGGTATCAAAAGTATTGGTTAAATTGAATTAATTTCAAAAAGTTAGTAAATTTATGACTTGTTATTTTAAATTCAAAGATCTCAAATCTTTTTTTATATTGTTTAATCTAGTCTAATTCCTTTTTTATTGAATATTTTGATAAAATTTTTGATACTAATTTCTATTATACTATATTTTCTCTTTATATGGCTATTATAAGGACTCTTTCTAGCTCTGATAGAATAATGCCAGATTATTGAATTCTCTTGTCTAACCTGTTTAATAAGTAAATCTACTTGATTATTAAATATGTTAATTCTATAGCTTTAACCTTCCAGATTTCTAAATTTAAAATTTTTTTTCTTTATCAGATCTTTGATTTTATTTCACAGTGACCAGTTAATAATCTTTATCCATCTTCTTGTTGATGTCTCTGTTTGTGAATAGATAAATTTCTATACTTTAATTGTAATATTACAATCAGTGTAAATTATAATGGTCATATTTTGAAAAGTAATATATAGTACAGTAAGAATAACTAATATTTCAGCTCTTGTTGCAGATGGTCAAGTAAAAGTTTCTACTAAGAACTGTCTAACCACTTTGTTATCTTTTATTAAAATTCAAGTCAAACCATCTTAAATTCATAGTCTATCATTTATTTTTTGTAAGAGCTATTGGTATAGAAAATAAGCTGATTAACTATATTTCTTCTGTTATATTTTATAATACTTATAAGTTTATCTTTATATTTTTTGTTTATATAACTTGTTCTATTAGTATAATGTTTTAGTCTTCCACTTGGGTTCTACCTTTATAGATCTGATAGTTTGTAGAGTCATTATTTAGTGATATGTGTTCCTGATAAAAGGATCTGGTTTCTTTTTCTCAGATTGTTATATCTATTTAATTATGAGAAAATGAACTTGTAATAGAACTACTTCCACTAATTGTATTGTTCTATCTAGTTGAAAATAGACACATTTATTAATAAAATTATATATTAACTGATATGATGTAAAATGAAAAAAACTCTTTCTGCTGATCCTCTAACCATATACAAAAAAGATGTTTACAAGAAGTTTTATACTTCTTTGCTAATAAAGTCTTTATACTTTCATTAAAACAACTTGAAGCTTGTCTTCATGTAT